TCAGACCCTCTGAAGGAAAGCAGTCCCTGCCACTCAGTCTCTCCAGAGACACTTCCCCATCCCTGGGTGAAAGAGAGGCTGATTTTAAGCTGCTAGAGTCTTCCTCTTGAGATAACATCAGCAATAAAAAAAGCCTGTATTAGAATCTGAAAAGGCACATAATGTAATCATAGAGCACATTGCTCAGGTTTGCATAGCACTTTACAGTTTACAAAGCACTTTCACATGCATTAACTCATTTGAGCAAATTGCAGGGAATCAGTTAACTACAGAAAAGTATAAAGGAGCAATAAAATTTATCTTTGAACCCATCACTCAGAGAAAAATCTTTGTTAACCTTATAATGTTCCCTTTGATCTATTTTCTAGCGTTTTTTGCTAGTTTGCATTTGTCTGTTTGGGGACCATAATGCATATACATTTTTATGGCCTGCCTTCTTTACAGAACACTGTACCTTCAGCCTCTCTGACCTTCACGTCTGTCCAGGGAAGAAGTAATTGTGCTGTGAAATGTCCATGGTTTGAAATCCAAAGACTGAGTCTCCGCTTTCTCTTTTGTGTAAGAAATGTGTGCTGAAGGGTTAAACTAATGAAGCAATGCAACAGAGAATTTTGGCACTGTACCTAGCACATAGTAGGTGTTCTGTTTATAACAGCTGAATATAGGTGACAGTCACAGTAGTGATAAATATTATACCAAAGCCCAGGATGACATCTGCTGGACCTGCAGTCTTGCAGACAGCTGTGTCTGGCAGCTTCCCACAGTACCTGGCGTGGTTCCTAGACCCCACCTGTTAAGCACCAGGTGAGCTTGGGAGGTAGATTCCAGTGAATCACATTAGTGGTGCTGCAGAGTTCACAGAGGCCACTTATCCCGGAGGACACTGGTGACACTTCCTGCCATGGCAAGCTGGCCATGGTAGATCTGGAAGCTCTTTCCTTGACCACTGCCCGCTGTGTTACCATGCAGGGAGGGGCTGAGCATTCCCACGGAGGCGTGCTGACCTCACCTGGTGCTCCAGAGGTTCCAGGCTCAGGGCATTCAGAGATGAGTCAGGTTCAGCCCTTACCTGAGCCCACCACTGCACAACTGCTCTCTAGAAAATGGCTCTGCAACCCGCTGACCTTAGGGTGTCTTTACCCGGTTAAAGGAATGTGTGTGCACGTGTGTGTGTGTGTGTGTGTGTGTGTGTGTGTGTGTGTGTGTGTAAAGGGGAGGAGAAAGCCCCGTACACACATGCATTTTTCAGGCCCTGGTCATTAGTGTTCTTTCCCACAGTGAGGATCATCCCCAGGTCAGGGAGAGCCCCTCTCTCCACAGACACCTGCTGCCTGCCCTTCCAGGCACACGGCCCACACTCTCCCTCACTTTGTGTGTACCTTTGTGAACACATTCAAAATACAAAACAAAACCAAGGGAAGAAGACAATGAGCCTCTCTTGCAAAAAGAGTTTCGCCGATGTCTGGTTTCTGAATGGGAATGGTGGTCTTTTCTCTTTTGCAGCTCGGGTGAGGGAGAGGACATCAGTGGGTTAAGTTTCCTCCTGGGAGGTGACATAATGGTTTCTGGTCACAGTTGAGTTCCTCAAGGAGACGGGCTTGGCCACCCTGCCTGCTCTTCATGAATCAGAGTCACCCCACTCGGCCAGCCCTGCATCCCCCAGGCCCTTGACATACAGTCTTCTTCAGGTGTCCTCAGGCCCAGGCGTCTCCTCTCCTACGAGTGTCCTAAAAACTGTGATAGCAGGTGATATCTGATGAGTCACTCCTTTTACCCAAGCACTGGGCTTCTTGTACACAGCATCTCTCACCATTCCCTGGTACCATCGCCGTCCCCCTTTTACAGTTAAGGAAATCAAAGCTGGGTAAGGTTAATAGCCCATCCACCTCCTACAGTGGTCAGGCAGGAGAGGCATCTCCGTCCGAGGCCTGGTGAGCATCTTTCCTGAAAAGGAGCCAAGTGGTGGAGGAGCGAAGACCAGCTTTGACCTCCCCAAGTGACCTTGGGAATCTGAAATGGCCTTCCCCTCCAACAAGGCATCTTTGGTGTGTCACTGGTGGGCACCGAAGGGAATGAGCAGGCACACTCTCAGATTCCCCGAGCAGAGCTTGGTGCCTGTTTGTCTGCTCTCCAAAATCTTTTCAGCCATCACAGACCCTTGAAGTGCAAATAGGAGGCAAAGAGTGGATTTAGGAATGGACTTATTGGTCACTTTCTGTGCACATAATTAGAGGACAAGGGAGGAAACTGGAGGGATGGGTCTTCCCCATGATCCCAGACTTCTTGTCTGCAGATACTTTTCATGCATGCAACACATGGGTATGGAGCACTTCCAAGAGTGAAGTGTCACCGTGTCACCAAGGTAGTTGCCCTCAAATACTTGCAGTTCAAGTTGACAAATGCTTTCATGGAGCCATGGGGCAGTTGTTCTTGGAGCACAGGAAAGAAGGATCATGGAACCGGGCACAGCCAGCAAAGGTCTCAGAGAGACGGTATATTGCATTGTCTGTGCTAAATTTTGAAAGGTAAATAGAAGGTCCCTAGGTGTAGAAGAGTAGGGTGGGGTGAAGGAGGGCCAGCAGCGGGGGAAGAATACAACATGGAAGAAAGTCAGAGATGTGGAGGGAAAGGCAGGTTTGGAATCACAGGGAAGGTCCTTGATGGGAGTACTGAATATGTGGGGGTGACAGGCAGAGAAAGCTTTGTGTGAGTGTCCCCAAGGAAATCGGGATTTAGTCCTACATTGATATGTAGGACTTTGATAAGGGGTGAGCTGGCTCATCGGATCTTAGCTGCACTGAGACTTCCAGCTCCTGGTCACACGCCTGTAATCCCAGTGGCTCAGGAGGCTGAGACAGGAAGATTAGGAAAGCCAGGGCCAGCAACTTAGTGAGGTCCCCATCCACTCAGTGAGACCCTGTCTCTAAATAAAGTAGTTTAAAAAGGGCTCAGTTGTTCAGTGCCCCTGGGTTCAATCCCTTGAACCAAAAAAGAAAAAAAAAGTTGGCATAGGGGAATCTTCAAATGGGCAAGGCCATCAAGTTGAATAGTTGGATAATATCCCTGATTGCAGTCTTTTTCACTGGAAAAATTTTAAAGGTAGCCTACAACATCCCATAGACACTAGATCTCAACAGATTCCCCAAGGAGCATCTGGAAATATGGGACCACATTTGGGTTGTGCAGAGCCATCTGTAGAGGCTATGAGCATTTACCCTTGAAAGACTCAGGAGAGCAACTGACCCTGCCATGTAAAAGGGCCCCCCCCCCACAGTGCTAATTCACATTATTAGTTTTCTCTTCTTCAAACCCCATAAAACATCAGTGACCCAAGAAATGTTTGTTGGAGCAGAATTGTTGATCTTGACAGGACCCGTCACATGACTGGGGCAATTGAGGAGAATGTGCCCTGCCCCAGCTGTCGGTCCTGTCGGGGCGGGCTAGTCTAGACCTTGTCTCTTGGCTGTGGTAGAAGTGCAAGAATGACATGCATTTTCTCTTGAAGGCTCACCTCAGAATGGGAATGGCATTGATCCCTTGCATTCTTTCAGCAAAAGCCCACCACAGGTCGAGTCCACATTCAGTGGTTGGGGAGATAGACCCAGCCTCTGTCATGAGCCCCACTGCAAAGGGTAGGATACCGTGGGGAAAGGAATGGAGAATTAGAGCAATTGATAGAATCATCCACCACAGCACAACTCTTAAGAAATGCCATCATAGCGTGATCTAGCAAGGCTGTGGTCTTAACTGATAGAAAGCCATACAGAAGCAAGCTGATGTATGATGGTTTTGAAATTTAAAAAAATAAAAGCATGTCCTTGGAAAACCATTATTCCTTCCACTCCTTTCAGCCAGATTGGTAACTCTAGACACATAAACTTTAGTCTATATTCAACTGAATGTTATCAAGTGATGGAGAAGGCGGATGGAACAGAAGAAACATAGGAACCAATTGTGTGAATGTTGGCAAATTATTGTTTTATAGAAGTCAATTATACTGAAATACGAACTGCATGCAACAGGCCCCACTGTTCTTAGTCTGCCTCTAGGCAAGTGTCCCCAAATGTGTGCACCCTGGTAACCATCATGCCAGTTGGGATGTGGGTCCTTTCCATCACCCTTAAAGCTCCCTTGCTCTTCCAAGGCCATTCTCTCCACACTCCACATCTGCAGATCCCGTTTCTATCACTGAGGATGAGCTTTGTACCCAGTTTTGTTGTGTTTTTGTTTTTGGGTTTTTTTTTTTTTAATTTCAGTTGTTCATCGGTAACCCAGGTGCCCTCATCCTGTGGTTATTGGTTGCTGTGGGGTGTAGTGAGAGGGTGTGGCCTGGGCAGCTGCATCTGCATATCAGTATTTGCATATCTCATGAGCATCCAGGTAACAGGCCAGCCTGCTGTCACCACCAGTCCAGGTAGGAGGAAGTAGAGCTGAAGACTTCTGCAAGTGAGAATTTGAAGTGAGAATTTCTTAGAGTTAGGGAAAAAAGAGGAAAAAAGTGGTTGTTTTGATGTTGTTTAAACATAGGTAAAATTAAAGGAAATAAGAGTTTTATTTATATATTTGTTTGGTTTGTTTTACAATATTTGGCCCAAAGATTGAAATCTGTAGCCCTCGGGGAAGAAAAGCATCAGGTCACATGGAGGTCCTCCTGTGTGGGTTTTTCTCCTCTTTGGACTTTCTCCCTGTTATCATTTTTGGTTGTTCTTCCGGGTCACCTAGTTTACAGGGAATGAGTGGCAGTCAGTGAGCATGACCATTGCTCCTAGCCAAGCGGGGCTCAGCCCTCAGATGGTGAGGCTTCTGTCCTCGTGATTACCTTTTTGAAATTAGATTCAATCTCTGGGGAAACGAAGATGGAGATTCTTCCTGCACCTGCCAAACCACCAACAAGGGCCCAGTATGTGATAAACTCTGAGAGGGCAGAGAGTGCTGGCAGCTCGCTCGCCCCTTGGAGCATTTATTCTCGTCCCCAAGCCCTGTGCTCTCCTGCCTTGCAGCTCCAGAAGCAGCTGTCGGAGCTCGATGAGGACGACCTGTGCTATGAGTTCCGGCGGGAGCGCTTCACCGTGCACCGCACCCACCTGTACTTCCTGCACTACGAGTACGAGCCAGCTGCAGACGGCACCGACGTCACCCTGGTTGCCCAGCTCTCCATGGACAGGTATGGCCAAGCGGGAGATGGCCTCACAAGCTTAGGATAAGATAGGGCCAGGCTGGTGTCTCAGCCCCTCCCCCACGTTGCAAAGGAGGACCTTCTTTTTCCTGCTGCTGCTGTTGGCTGTGGGTCATGGGGAGGGCTGATTCTTTCGAGGTGAAGCCCTACTCAAATTCATTGCTGGTGGGACTGCAAATTGGTGTAGCCAATATGGGAAGCAGTATGGAGAACCCTTGGAAAGCTGGGAATGGAACCACCATTTGACCCAGCTATCCCACTCCTGGGTCTATACCCAAAAGACTTAAAATCAGCATACCTCAGGGACACAGTCACATCATTGTTTATAGCAGCACAATTCACAATAGCTAAACTGTAGAACCAACCTAGATGCCCTTCAGTAGATGAATGGATAAAAAAAAATGTGGTGTATACACAATGGAATATTATTCAGCATTAAAAGAGAATAAAATCATGGCATTTGCAGGTAAATGGATGGAGTTGGAGAAGATAATGCTGAGTGAAGTTTTCCAATCCCAAAAAACCAAATGCCAAATGTTTTCTCTGATTTAAGGCTGCTGATTCATAATGGGGGGAGGGGTGGGCATGGGAGGATTAGATAAACTCTAGATAGGGCAGAGGGAAAAAGGGAAGGGGAGGGGAGGGGCATGGGGGTTGGAAAGACAGTGGAATGAGATGGACATCATTACCCTAAGTACATGCATGAAGACAGGAATGGTGTGACTCTCCTTTGTGTACAACCAGAGACGTGAAAATTGTGCTCTGTATGTGTACTATGAATTGAAATGCATTGTGCTGTCATAAAAAACAAATTAAAATTTTAAAAAACGAAAAAAGTGGGGGAGGGGATGTGCAGTCTGGAGCCCCAGGGAGATATTTGCTATTCCTTTTCTATGTATGTGAATGGATGCAACAAACCTTCGTCCAGCACTGCCAACAGTACTGAGCCTGGCCCTTATATAATGTGCAGTCTGATGCAACATTTCTCAATCTTGGCCTTGGACAAACTGAACCATGTGGGAGCTTTTATAGCAAATTCACATCCAGGGGCCATGGCAGACCCATTACTTAAGAATCTTTGTGGAGGTGGAGTCCTTGGCGTTGTTTGCTTTAAGCTTGTGGTATACAGCAAGGCAAGAGGCATAAGTAGCAATAACAATTAAATAAAATTATAATTGTAATAAGTGCTTTGCAGGAACAGGGACAGATAACACCAATGGCATGTTGGGGGACCTTCTTTAGGCAATGTGGTTAGGGGGCATCTCTCTGAGGAGGGGACATTGCTATAGAGACCTGGAGAGACTCAGCACATGCATTGCTGAGAGAAGAGCCTTCCAGGCAGACAACTGAGCAAGTGCAAAGCCCCCGTGGAGGGAAGGGATGCTGCATATTCAAAAACCTGGCAGAAGATCAAGGGAAGTTTCAGGGGGTTGGAGGAAGGTGTCATGGGATAAGATCATGGAACACTGGGTGTTCGTAAAATATGTGGATTTTATTCAAAGTACAGTAAGAAGATATTGAAGAAATTCATGCAATCAGTCATGTGATCTAACTCACATTTTTTAAGCCATCTCTTTGGGTGCCAGGAGGTGGGTGGATGTGAAGCGTCACGGTTGGTCACTCAGCCCCACACAGCTCTGAGCAGGGCCAGTGCTTCCCCGTGCTCAGTGTTCTCATCTCCAAGTCCATGCGATCACACAGCCCATGTAAGTGTCTTGTATTCATGTGCCAGGGCTCTGGGGCTGGGGATATTTGTATGAAGACCCCGTCCCTGCCACTTAGGACTCAGGCAGGGCATTTGTTTCTTATCGTCAGGTAAGAGATTACCGCCCATGTGGAAACTCAAGAAAACGCATGTTTGTTACCGTACAGTGTCTGTGGGTCAGGAGCCTGGAGGCACGTCGGCAGGGTCCTCTGCTCAGGGTCTTGGGACTGAAGTCAAGATGTCGGCTGGGGCTGTGAGGTCATCTAGGAGGAGTCAGCCACTTGGAAGCTCCTTCACACTGTGTTAGAGTCCCCCCGGTTCTAGGACTGAGGTTCCTGTTTCCCTGCTGGCTATTGGCTGAGGTCCTTCTGAGATCTGGAAGCTTCTGTCAGGTCCTAGCCACGTGGCCCTCTGACAGCATGGCCAGCTGAGAATCTGTCCCTCGTATTCCCAGGTCCTGCCCACACCCAAGGGGAAGGGATTCAACAGGGTGTGTCCACCAGGAGGTGGAAATCTCAGAGGCTGTGGCAGATGAATAGGTCCTGTGACAGGGATCGCTGAGTTCTGAGTGCCCGGCAGGAGGCAGGGAGGCACTGGCAGGTGCCATGAAGCCTACAGAAGGATCCCCGTCCCCCAGGGATGGAGAAAGGAAGACCCGGGGCGTGTGTCAGAGGGAAGGTGTCACCTGAGCCGAGCTGGGGTGGGTGGACTGAGGGTAGGGCACATGAAAGGAAAGAAGGAAGGTTCTCCAAGGAGGCACACGCAGCACTGTGTGGTTGGGGCTCAGGGAAGAGGAGGGAGGAGCGGGGAGGAGCTCAGCCAGGGGGGCAGTGGGGAGACCAGAGGAGGCAGCCAGGCCTCGTGGCTCAAGTCTGTCAAGCACCCGAGATGCCCCATGGGCACCTGACCTAGACCAGTGTCCTGGACTCACACCCAGACTTCCCATGTCCCTTTGCCTTCTACCCATCTTTCAGTGCAGCTGTCTAAGCTCCCCCACCCTCCGCCCCTCAGTAAGTCACCTGGCCACACCAGCCCTGTCTTCTCCCGTGTGCCTCCTCCTCTCCTCCACGTCTCTCACAATGAGTGTAAGATCTGACCTCCTCATGTGAGTGTCCCATGATGGTCGATAGCCTCCAGGTCCCCAGACTCCTAGTACCTGAGGCTCAGCTACCTTGGCCTGCACAATCCAGTCAGCCCTGCCTAAGCCCAGGTTCCCATCTCTCCCTGCACTGGGGGTTCTCCCCTGCCCCACCCGTACCTCCCCATAATGCATTTGGATTAAGAGCAAAACATTCTAAGTCAAGATTAATGGCCTGTGGCTACCAAAGAAATTGGACATGCTTTCTAATCTGAGTAAACAGTGGCATTGCCATGAAGAAATTCCTGCAATCAATCATGTGATCCCTTAGCATCAGACACTGAGGGTTCTTTTGCGCCTCTGCCACCTTTTGAGTTTGACCTTTGGACAAAGTCACTTCATCTAAACCTCAGATTCCTCCTTGGAAATCTGGGAATGGTAATAATATCTTCATTATCATCATCTCTAAGGTCCTTGTGAAGATCAAATGAGAATGCAAACCCAGCACTTAGCCCCAACGTACATTCCACAGTGACAACAGAACTTGCGACCAAACTCAGTGCTGGGTAGAAAGGCACTAGACCTTGGGACGAGGAGCTCTGGTTCACACTCCGCCTGCTCCTTCTGTCCTCAGCTGACAATCCTGACTTAGTATCTTTGGGTCTCTGTCTTCTCCTATAAGACAGGGTTTGAAAATACTCACCTCCCGGGCTCCTGGTTAGGATTAAATGAGAGAGTCTGACAGCCCTTGGTGCAGATTTAGCATCAGGTAGAGATGGCATGCACGTGAGCCTCCTGTGGAGGCAGGTAGGAGAGGGAGGGAAAGAAAACAAGAAAGACCTGGACTCAGAGTCCAGCTGTGCCTCTTCCCAGCTGTGTGCGCTTGCGCCAGGTACTTGCCTTTTTGAATCTCACTTTATCTGCGAAGTGACGGTGATACTGTCGAGCTCAGGGATTGTTATCTGGATGCTCTAAAATAAGAGGATGTAAAATGTCCAGTAAGTAGTTGACATTTCATCCTGTGTCTTTACCTCATTGTTGGCTATACACTTTGCTGTTTGGGATTCACACATCAATAGAAGGAAAATGTGTTCAGTTAACAACCCAGACTCATCCTTTTTACACACTTACTATCAGTAGACGAATATCAGGAAAACCAAGCGTCTCCTTCCAGTGCAAAGGGAAGCACCCCCCACCCCAGCCTGGGCCAGTGGTGATCCTGGCAGGACCTTTCTTGTATTCATTCAAAGAAATCTCTGGTCCCCTATCTGTCTGCAGCAAGCGCTGGCCACAGGGGCCTCCCTTCCCAAAGCACACACATGCCAAGCATAGCAGATGCCTGCTACCCCCAATGCACAGTGACAAGTACTGCCATCCAGGCAGGACCTCAGAGAACCCAAGGAATTGTAGGTCCCCCTGACAGACACTGAGCAGGACATGCTCAGAAATTCCAAGAGCACACGGCGGTGCAGTGGGAGAAATTCCCCAGCCTTCTGTGCTGCACATCCAATTATGATACAGCACGCTGACTGGTGCCTGTTGGATTGATTTTTAATTTGGGAAACACTTCGAGTGTGTTTGTAAACCTTCGAGTCAGAAGTAGCCCTACGTGAATGCCACAATAAATTAGGGGAGTCGACAGGCCGCCCCCATGCCGTCTCCCTGCAGATTTCCACTCAGAGATGTTGAGTGTCACTGGCCACACCGTGGTGCTGGCATCCCTGTCAGTCACTCCGTGGGGAGGACACCTGTCCTCTGACACCTGGCCTGGGGAGACACTCCTTCTCTGGTGTCCTGTTGTCACAGTTGTTGAAGAACTGACCACCATTAAAGGCATCGTCTGACTGGTGAATGTCCTCTCTGCTTTTTGCAAAAAAAAAAAAAAAGAGAGACTAGAAATACAAGTTCTTGGGTTCAGCCCAGACCTCCTGAACCAGAACCTCCAGTGTGTGTGGGGGGGTGTCTTTTTAAATGAACCACTACTCAGACCAGTGTTGGGAAGCCCCAGCCCTTTTCTGAGAGTGGAAAGTACTTCTCCCTATGATGGTCAGCGTGCTCTTTGAAGCATTTAAATCTGGTCCCAGCCCTGAAGTCCCCCGTGGTCCCCCCTGCATTTAGAACAGCAAGCCCACTGCCCACGTGGCCTTCGAGGCCCAGCCAGACGCCTGCTCCTCTCCCACACACAGTCCGTCCACACTGGCCCTGCTTCTTGCTTGACTGAGCTGGACTCACTTTTGCTGCAGGTTGTTCTGGGCAGCTCACCCCGGACATTCACAAGCTGCTCCTGCTCTTTATGTAGGGGTCTTGGGCCATCCTGCCTACTATTAAAAAAAAAAAAATTCCAGAAGCACATTTT